TCATCATTGATGTATCTCTCTCTTTTCCTCTCCCTTCCTCTCTGAAAGCAATAATAAAAAAAAAAGTTACTCCCTATTTAAAATGATAATCTATTTCATATCTATGACTTAACTAATTTAGGGTATGTTTGCTTGATTGCAACCATCCAGGGGAGCAAAAAATTCCCCACCCTTATTCTTGGATGTTCATATTTATTAAGTATGTTCTTCTTGAGTATTATTATTGGAGAAACTCTATTCACTTAAGTCTCTCAAAACATAAAGATAATTCTTAAGATTATTTAACCCTTTTAATCATTATACTTAGTGAACCAAAATAGCATAATGTTTAGCTATCAATGATTCTCTCTCATAATTGATGTTTCTATCTCTCTCTCCTTCTCCCTTCCTCTCTGAAATCAATAAAAATATATTTTTTTAAAAATGAAAAAAAATGGGATAATAAGATAATGGATAGAACATTGTTTATAATATAATTTAGTGATATATAGGCTTTACTAAGATTCTGGACCTGGACTCATACAAAACTGGTAAATCTTTCGCATAACAATACTGATTGCTTTCTTTCTAAATAATCTTTGTGGTCACAAATGATGATAGCCTCAGAAGTACACCACCTCCTTTAAGGAAGGACATACTGCTGGCAGTGGTCTTTGGCTGTCAGCTCTTTGAGGAACTGCTTCGGCTGCAGAGGGCAGCCTTGCCCAAGTTCATACTCTCCCCAGGCTGCTCAGTTCATTGACTGATCTAGGTTGGGGTATCAAGGCCTGGCCATTCCGGCCCAACTCTAAAGAACCATTTTAACTCCAGAGCTCCCTGGGAAGTTCATTGAGGCTGCCATTGGGCCTACATCTCAGTTCAACTTTGCCTTCTGATAAATGTTGCTTCCTTCTCTTCCCTTCCAGAGGTATTCATCCCCAAAGAAATGCCTAATAAATTTTAAAAACCTGTTGTGATAAATCATCTCAGCTCTACTTCCTGGAGAATCCAACCTGTGACATCAATGTTACTTACATGTAATATATTGTACTTAGCATCCCATCTGCATGGAGAAAAACGGACTGATCACAGGAGTGGCTTTTCGAAAACAAAACAAAATAAAACAAAAAACCCAACCCTTTTGCAAGTGAAATCTTAAGTGGAGTCCAAATATATAATGTAAGAGATGAAGCAGAACTTGTCCTGGGTGAGGTGTGGATAAGGCTTGCTCCCGAGGTACCTCTACAAAATAGCTTGAGGGTCATATTAGAGATTTGCTTCTTTAAATATTATAGGAATTGAAGCACAAAATTTTAGAGCTGGAAGGGATCTTTGAAATCATACAGAACAACTCCTAATTTTACAGATGGAGTAACTGAGGCCCAAAGAGGTTTGTGACTTATCCAAAGTAAAGAAAAATTAACAGTGGCAGATAGAATTATAAACTAGTTTCCTCATTCCTATAGTCCATTATATAAATTGTTTCACTGAGAGTTTCAGATCCTATTTCATTTATGTTCTTAAGTGAAAAACTTTTAGGAATTCAAATGAACCAACAAATATAAACTAAATATTTTTTTTTGTTTCTATTGTGTTTAAAGATGAAATATTTTTAAGCACAGGCACACCATATTTAACATTAAGGTTTCACATATAATATGTTCTATTTTATAGTCTGCTTATATGTATTTTCCTCTTTTTATTGTGGTAAAATACATATTAAACTTACCATGTTAATAATTTTTAAGTATACAGTTCAGTATATACTGTACTGAAACTCTATACCCATTAAACAATAACTCCCCATTTCTCTCCTCTCCCGAGCCCCTGGCAACCACCATTCTACTTTCTGTCTCTATGATTTTGACTGCCCTAAGTATGTAAGTGCAATCATACAATATTTGTCTTTGTGAGTAACATATTTCACTTAGCATAATGTCCCCATGGTTCATCCATGTTGTAGCACATGCCAAGATTTCCTTTCTGTCCTAGCTGGTTTGGCTCGGTGGATAGAGCATTGGCCTGTGGACTGAAGGGTCCTGGGTTTGATTCCAGTCAAGGGCACATGCCTGGGTTGCGGGCTCGATCCTCAGTGTGGGGCATGCAGGAGGCAGTTGATCAATGATTCTCTCTAATCGTTGATGTTTCTGTCTCTCTCCCCCTCTCCCTTCCATTCAGAAATCAATAATATATATAAAAGATTTCATTTCTTTTTTAAAGCTGAATAATATTTCATTGTATGTATGTACCACATTTTGCTTATCCATTCATCCACTGATGGACACTTGGGTTGCTTCCATGTTTTAGCTAATGTGAACAATGCTATTATAAATAGGGGTGTACAGACATTTCTTTGAGATCCTGCTTTCAATTCTTTTGGGTATGTACCCAGAGTAGAATGAGTTAACTCATTCAAAGTTTTATTTGAAAAGGTTTTTCAATTTTCTTCCATCACATTTCCTCTATCTCATAAGAAAAAAAGAAATACATTACGTAACTTAATTCTACCTGAGAAACATTTTTGTGTGTGTGTGTACCAAATACAACTACCTTTTACTTCAAAATATAAATTAACATTTATTCTTCTTAAGGAGGAAAAAGTATTAAAAGACCCACATCATCACAAGAAAGCTCTATACCAGCATGCCAAAATTAAAATGAAAACCCTCAATGAATTTGAGACCAGGGTCTTCTTTCTTTTTCTTTTTTTAAAAAAAAATATATTTTATTAATTTTTTATAGAGAGGAAGGGTTAGATGGAGAGTTAGAAACATAGATGAGAGAGACAGGGATGGAGAGTTAGAAACATCAATGAGAGAGAAACATCGATCAGCTGCCTCCTGTACACCCCCTACTGGGGATGTGCCCACAACCAAGGTACATGCCCTTGACCGGAATCGAACCTGGGACCCTTCAGTCCATAGGCCGATGCTCTATCCACCGAGCCAAACCAGTTAGGGCAAGGGTCTTCTTTCTTATTGATTATACCAGTAGCATCTTTCTTCTAATTTTGGGTTCCCATTTAAGAGGTCCTGGAGGAAAAAAGTCCAACAGAATGTCTCTTCTTTTTCTATCTATATACCCATGGAGCCTCAGAGGAAATAGAAAGGAAAGAGCCAGATGTCAGCATCCATGCAAGCTCCTTCCAAAAAGAGAGCCTCACAAAACCTTCTTTTCTACCCTTCAAATATATGCTCACTTGCCTGTATTGAAAGGCCAGCGGGCAATGCTGAACTCTTAGCACGTTTCTACATCTGTCTGATATACGCTTTTCCATGGCTTTCTTATTACCTGGGTCCTTGCTGTCTGTCTGGTCTCAATTGACTCTCCACATAGCTCACCAAGCTCGAACCCCTCTGACCTTTCCCCTCTTCCTTGAACATATAAAGTTGTTTTTGTCTCTAGTACTTTGCACATGTTGCTTTCTGACTCACCCCCATTGCTCACCCCAAGTTACCTAACTTCCACTTGTCTTTAAAGTTTTAGCTTAAATGTCATTTTAGTAGATAGGCTTTCCACTACTTCCTGCTAGATTAAATCCTCCTTTTACCCAGAGCAAGTTTCATAATTACATGATATAGTTATTAGTATGATTATTTGCTTAATCTCCCCTACAGATAATAAGCTCTATGAAAACACTATGTCTGTTTTATTTCCTCTGTATCCACAGGGCCTACCATAGTTCCTGGCACATAATAGAGGTCCCCACCAGTATTAGTTTAATAAATGAATAAGTTAATCAATTCAGAAAATAAATATGTATCCCTCCATTATTCACAGCCAGGGACCAATATATTTTCTCCTGCCCTTCATTCTTACCTGTTTAATTTTCGTTTCTTCCCAAGAATAATGCACAACAAATAGAAGTCTAAGTGAAAAAAAATTCTTTAATATGCTCTCACTAGAATTAGAATGTGCTTGTTGCTATTTATTAAAACAAGTACATATACACCTCAAATATACCTAATAAGGCCTTAGCCAGTTTGGCTCAGTGGATGGAGCATTGGCCTGTGGACCGAAGGGCCCCGGGTTCGATTCTGGGCAAGGGCACATACCTCAGTTGCAGGCTCCTCCCTAGCCGGGGCCCTGGTTGGGGCTTGTGCAGGAGGCAACCAATCGATGTGTTTCTCTCACATTGAAGCTTCTCTCTGTCTTTCCCTCTCTCTTCCATTCTCTCTGATAATCAATGGAAAAATATCCTCGGGTGAGGATTAAAATATATATACCTAATAAGAACAAAATTATAAGGGATTTTTCCCTCTGAAATTCCATTCTGTGAACTTATTCCCTAAGGTCACTCAAAACACTTTTGGGAATTCTTGCAAAAAAAAAAATTATTGATAATTCTGTGAAATACTCATGTTACAGAAATTGCTTTGAAAGAAGCTTAAATTTTTTTTTCATAAAGTATTTCAACTTATGAACCATGATAGGCTTGTATGAAATGAGGATCTTTAGTTGGAAAAGTAAAGTAAAAATAAAAAACAGAATCATTCTTTCAAAAATGAGAATATAGTATTTAAGGTGACAGAGAATCAGTCTTAGAAGAATTAGAAACAATAAATACAAGAAACAACAGAAAAGAGAAGAAAGTGTTTCTAAAACACACAGTATCTTGGGAATATCCATTAAGAAGCACACTCTGCAAAAGCATTCTTCTAAAAGGGCACACCCAAAGGTTTTACACAGGAAACTCTCAAGGTCTGCAGTATTACGGTTATTGGTTTAGAGAGGGGCTTACTGGTTTCTTTGAGTTGGAGATTTGTGGATTTTTAAATTTTTACTTATTGATGGTGGTAGACTTCAGAGTAACAAGGAGAGGAAGATAAAGAAATAGGCACAGATGTAGCTTACACAGTCCTTCATTACCTTTTTACTATAAGAGAACGTATCCAGTGCTAGGTTTAGTCCCATGCGTCTGTTGTAAAAAAGGTAACTTAAATATCTGAATGTTAAGTGACCTGAGGTGGCTTCACGATGATTGATAAAGCCTAGAGCTCGAAGGGGACTGTGCAACCTACCTTCTTGTGCACAACAGAGGAACTGGAATTTACTGTGCTTTCGTCATCATGCATCATGACAAGTTCAGAGCTGCTCTCATCCATGACCTCCTGCATGCTATTCACACTGCTGCTCTGGCTGCCTGTGCTCACAGACATGCTTGGGATAGAATGGTTGCTCCCCAGGCTGTCCATTTCCCTGCTCAGGCTGATTCCATGTTCGCTGTCCTATAAAAAGGGGGCACTCGGGTTAAAAAAAAATGACTGGAGATGAAGCGCCAATCCATTGACTAAGCTATTAAGCACACTCAATTTTGCAGTGCCAGGTTGCTTTTCTGCCAAATCTGCAAAGATAAACTTTTTATGTAGTGGCTCCACTACTCCCCCACCATTTTCAGACATCTCAAATTCACTCTATGCCTTCCCCAGGGGCCATTCTGGACATGAGTCATAAGGCTCCAAATGCTGCGATCCCAGGGCTTTCCCCTGTCATATGCAACTATCATATTATTGTATTGCTATTTAATAAGCAGAATCAGGCCAGGTTTGTAAGAGAACTCCAGGAACATCAAGGTGCTAGAGAAAGACTGCAGGCGACAGGTGACCTCAAGGATATTTGCAAATACGGCAGTGGTCACTTGAAACTAAAATAGAATAAAAAGAGTTTTCAGAGATTTGACAAGCAATATACTCCTTTGCAAGTCATTATTGAGTAACTTCATAGCTAAGCAGGGATATTATTAATTCTACTGTCCTGGATAGGTAATTAAATTCTGCCTCCCTTAAGCAATTCTATCATGCTTACCTCTGTAATCTTATTAAATATATCTGTTAAATAATACTGGTATTCATCACTACTAATCTAAAGACTACTATTTGAGAAGTGGTAAAATAATCAGAACATATAATTTATCCATCACAATGGGATATCTTTTGATATAAGATTAAATAGTATAATTAAAGCAACTTAGTTCCAAATAAACATTATTTTTGAAGAAGCATATGTACATATATAACTTTAAAGAATTGTTACTTGGTAATGTAGGGAGTCACTGGCATAGGTAGGTAATGGGGTAATAGAAAATGTTATATAATACATTATATTTTTAATAGATTTATTTTCCCATTTAAGGAGAATCATTTGTATATATGTAATCACAAGAGTTTATAATCCAATTCAGCTTTCTGAATTTTACTTTATAATTATCAATGTAATAATTTTGTTTTATTTTATATCAGAAAGCTAAAGTAAGATTCATCATTCCTTTCCTCCTCTTGATCTAGTTTTAGATAGGCTAATCCGTGCTCAAATACTCTTGCTCCCATCCTAAGCACTTCCTGAGATCCCACTTCTATAACTATATCTCTTTCCTCTGTCTTTGATGCCTCTGGCTTGGCTCCTTCCCCCCTGCATATAAATCTGAAAATCCCTGCGCCATATTCATGTACCTCTCTACATACTGCCCTTTGTCACTTTTCCTTCTCAGCCAGATTTATAAATCTTAAAACTTCCAACTTCTGCTGTCTATATTTTCTCACTTCCCATTTATTCTAAATAGTAATTTTTCTATTTATCCTAACTATTCTCATAAAACTGCTTTTATGAAGGTCATCCAAAATGCCCTACTTGTAAAACACTTAACATTTTTTTCTGGTATAACTTGACCTCTCGGCAGCCTCTGATGGCACTGGCTGTTCCCTTCTTGAAACTGTGTACTCTCTTAACATCTGCGAGGCCTTTACCTCCTAGGTCTTCTTTTTCTTACATGGAATTCTCCTTCTACAATAAACTCCTTGATTCATGATAATTTTAGAGCTCTTGACCCCCAACCAACTACCCCTTATCAGAATTATTTCCTATGTTCTGGATTTGTATATCCCAACCAATTGCTAGACACTGTTCAGGTGTCTCAATTGTCATTACCCTTGTCCCAAACAATCCTTCTCAAGTTATTTGAATGGGAAACCAGGAAGTTCTCTCTCCTTTGAAAACTCCATCTGCATACTATGCCAGTGGCATACGATGCTAGGCCCTTAAACTCCAAAGGCACCTAACTGAAATAATTTTAAACCTACTCTTTCTCCTTGGTGCCTTCAGTTCTGGGTATTGACATACTCACTAAGGTCCTAGCATTATCAAATCTACCTCTACAGTGTTTCTCAAAAGTGTTTCTTGTTCCCCATTCCTTTGACACTGCCCTTTTTACTTCGTGCATGAACTAGTCACTCAATGAAATCCATCTTACATTCTGTTGGTAGGATAATCTTTCTAAAGCACAGCACTTTCCTGAGTCTAAAATGCCCTATGCCCTCTGTCAAAAATCACCCACATCATGTCCTCCATACAACCTTCAACAATCCCCACCAGCAGACTTATCTTCCCACTATGGATCCCTGCATGGTGATATACCTCTAAAGCATTTTTCAAATTTTGTCTTATGTAAGAGTTTTTTCATGAATGTCTTTTTTTGCAACTCTGTGTCTCTTAAGGCAGAGAGCATCCCTTACCTTTTTTATCCCCTTTATAGTGCCCAGTCTAGAACTTTTTCACATAGTAGGCACTCTATAAGTGCCTGCTAAAATAAATTGAACCTACTTCTTCATCCTCCTGTGATTCATGCAAAGGTCCATTTCTTGTCTCTTGGAAAAGGATTTTTTTCATTTTGCGGTATTGCAGGTTATCTAGTTCACGAACAGCATCTTTTGTCCTCTGTATGAGGTCAATTAGGACACGTAGTGGCCGGTCTCGTCGGACAAAGTCATGCTAATTGAGGGAGGAGGAAATAGCAAAAAAATAATAATGAGAAACATATTTTTAGGTGCAAGATATAGATATAGTAATAAATGGACATAAAACAGTTCTATGGATTTTGCAGAAATAACAAGATATGATTTTCATTCCATGTAGTCCCTCATATTGTATTAATCTTAAAAAAGATAGATATAATGCTTTCTCTTCTTCAAGCCCCATTTTGTGGACTTTGTCCTAGAGTTTACTTGAGAACTCTTGATGTTTACCTTATCTTACAAGTATAACAATGACTATAATTTTAAATAGTAGCTGAGTGGTTTATAAGCTTTAAATCTGAAGCTATAAACCAAAGCAAAAGCAATGCAGAGTACAGACTATTCTCGTTATAATCTGCCTCAATCCTACTCCCCACCTTACACTACTGTTGTGTATATTTTGTTTCCTATTTCTGTGGTCATATATAGTGTATGACCGAAAATGTGATGGCTGCTCAATTTATTCAGAGGTCAGAATTCTGGCAACTTCATCTCCCCTTTGAAGAGTTGTACAACCAGGAAAAAGGTAGAAGGGCCTCCAAGGAGTGAAAATATCTGCCCCAAAGTCCATAAACTTTTCTGGGCATAAGCGGCCCTCACTTTCAATATTGTTAGTCATCTCTAATACATATTTCAGTTTCCTGCTTTCTCAGCCTATAGCAGATTAGAAAGAGGGAATAAAAGTGGGAGAAAGAGGATTGAGAACTTTAAGAGGTAAGGTTATTTGCTGTTCTCTGACAGCCTGAGAGTAGAGAAAGAGAGACATTCCATGATTAACATACCTACCACCAACCAAATGAAAATGAACAAAGGTTTCTGGGCTCTTTGAAAAGGCACAATGCCCTCATATAGTTGTTTTATACTTCAAGAATTTGCAAAACACTACTGTTTTTGAGCCAGCAAGAAGTGAAATTATGTTCATAATACATTCTTTAGAACAGTGGTTGCCAACCGGTGGTCCGCAGACCACTGGTGGTCCGTGAGGTCCGAAAGGTTGGCGACCGCTGCTTTAGAAGGTAGAGAGGCACATCTTATATTTTAACACAGACAATGATCAAAAGTGGGAGGAAGAAGTTTTGTTTTTTAAAGGACAAGGTTCAGTTATGTGGGAAATTCACTTATGTGAAATTATAATTTAAAGATATTGGGAAAATGGGAGAAATGTGGTAGGCCTTAGATGATGGAATGGATTTTACTTCTTTGTAAGTTTGAAGGAACAGGACCATTGTGAGGAAAAAAAATCTACATGTCCTGTGGTTCTTCACCCTGACTTTGCTGTCAGGGAAACTGGCTTTTGCTCCTGCTTTTATAAAATATCTCTTCCTCTGCAAAGAGTCCTTTCTGAAGAACCCCGGAAGTAAGTATAGCCTGCACATTTCAAGATGAGAACGAAAGGGAGAAAGGAAATTATTTTGCTACTCCTGTGCTTCAATTATACAAGAAGAAATCGTTTTTTAGTAAATTTGAAGCTATAACTTAAGGGCAAACTGAAACTTTATAATAAAATAAAAGGACTGCTAGAGTATAGAATATTCTTGTCAGAATCTGCCTCAATCCTCCTCCCCTCCCCACACTACTGTTGGGTGTATTTTGTTTTCTAATCCTTACATAACAGCAGCTCCTGCCATTCTTTGTCCCTGTGTCTGCTTTATTTTTTTCTATAAATAATTTATCACCACCTGACATTATACCATCACATATTTATTTGTTTTTATACTCCTTCATTAGAATATAGGTTCCATGAGTTCAGGAGCTATCATTTTCTTGTGTACATTCATATTATTTTTAGTGCTTAAAACAGTGCTTGGCACTCAGCAGACAATCTATAATAATAAAATCGTAATATGCTAATTAGGCCGGATGACCTTCCTGATGAAGCCAGGGCTGCGAGGGAAGCCCAGGTCCCAGGTGCTGGAGGGAAGCAGGTGCTCGCAGCCAGGGGAAGAAAGGCCTTCTCTTGCTCGAATTTCATGCATCGGGCCTCTAGTTAGTAGATATTTGTTGAATAAGTGGTGAGGCTCATTTGATTTGGCTCACCATATCAAATAAAGACTAAATCAAACCAAATCAAATAAAGATCCAAACATTTACTGACAAAAAAGTTTTCTTCAGGCATATCTTTAAACATCCTCTGCTCCACGTGTTTTGCTTTATTCTTCAGGAATAATAGGTTGGCCTATGTTAGATCTCTTTTGTCTTCTATATGTGTCATCTTTTCTATAATAATCTTTAGGAGTTTTTTTTCATTTGCCTTTAATTTTATTTCCCTAAGACTACCTACCATGGGAAACACCCTAAGTGGATTTGCTTATTATATTAGTACTAGAGGCCTGGTGCACGAATTCGTGCATGGGTGGGATCTCTTGTCCTGGCTGGCAATCGGGGCCAATTGGGGCTGTCTCACCCAGTCCTGATTGGGGCCAGCTGGATGGCCAGGGGGAGGGACTGCAGGAGGTTGGCCAGCCGTGGGAGGTTGCCTGTGGGAGTGCACTGACTGCCCAGGGGCAGCTCTTGTGTTGAGCATCTGCCTCCTGGTGGTTGGTGCACATCATAGTGGCTGGTCGAAATGGTCGCTTAGGGTCATACATATATATATATATATATTGCTTATGATTTTAATGTTATGTTTTAATTTTTCTACTCCATTTCTTTCTTTATTTCTGCCCACTTGCTTTTTATATCCTTTTGTTGTCTATTGCCTCAAAATTCAACTTTGAATCCTTGTAGTATATTCTTCTTTGAGGTTTTGCCCCCCTTAATTTTAATACCATCCAAAGTTACTTCTTTTTCCCTTTATGGTAATGCTTTTCATGCCCTTTTAAAATATCTTTGCTTACTTCAAAGTAATAAAGATACCACTTTATCTTGTAGTATGATGTTTTGTTCTGGTTGCCATTTTTCCCTCTATATAGAAATGTGGAACTGTTGCTAAGACATACAGATTAGCTCATATCTAGAACATGTGATGGCTCTACACCAAATGAGAGTTAGGTAGAGTTCTCTGCCCTGTTACTTCTGTCACCCTATTAATGTGGCCTGCGACCTATATGAAAAAAAAAAAATTACTTTTGGGTGGAAAAACTAGTCCACTTCAGACCTACCTCTTCAGGAACACTAAAAGCCAGAAAATGATAGAGAAATGTTTATAGAGTTCTAAGAAAAGAAAATGGAAACCAAGAATTTGTGACCTAGCCAAAGTGGCCAACATCTTTAAACTTCACTAATTTAGGCAATACAATCCTTCAGAGTTTTTGTTAAAACAAACAAGAGTGGAACAACATGCATACAGAAAAAGGTTGAAGAAATCTGGACTATTTTGTGTCAAAGAAAAGGTATTTATATTTTAAAAGATTTCCACATATTTCACTAATATAGACAGAACATATCACCTATGTATAAGGTCTATAATAAAATGTTACATGAAAAGAGATGCTCAAATATATGATGTTTAAATCAAATGAATGCAGTTAACATGGTACTCTTGTCATCAACATGGACAATGGAATGCTATGCTAACTTCACTGCCTGATGATTTGGCAACAACCTAAGTGAAAAATCTCCGAGTTGTCATTTAAATCATTGGTAGACTCTGTCCTGAAAGTTTGTACAGATATTAGCCATAGGAATATCACAAAAATGACCAGAGCAAAGAGAAATATTCTTTGTCAAAAGTAAAAAACGGGGTTGGGTGTAGGGAAAACTCTTCATAGGGAATACATGTATGGCACATGTATGGCACATTGAGATAATCATACTATTTCTATGGCTAGCTACTATCTCTGGATAAATGACAAGGCAGCACCTTCTAATCCAGTTTGTCATAATGAGCTGCCACAGGAATGATTTACTATGTTCCACTACAACGTGACTTTAAATTCCCCTCTTAAATAGAAATTGAAAAAATTATTTTACTAACCAATGTCACCCCAATAAATTCAATAAAAATACATACATACATAAATTAGTTTAAAAGATGAAAAAAAGAAAAGAAAAACTTACCCGTAATAGTTCCGCTGACGTTGGTCTTTCCTGAGGTATTTTCTGTAAGCAGTAATCAACAAATCTTCTAAAAGAGTCAGTCCTGTGTGGGCAAATACATTAAAAGAAAAAAATATCAAGGTTTGTAGAACACATGGCTCACTTAAAAAAGTTTTCATTCCAGGGAAAATTTTACATTTTAGATGTTTAATAAAACATTTCTGGAATATCAGAATTAAATTTTCAAGTTTATGACATCTAAAATTAATTATTTTGGCTAATGAATGTGGATAATTCATGTTAATCAATACATAGACATTTCTTAATATATAATCAAGGTCAAATCATAATATATATATATATCAGAAAGTGAAAATACTGTATTTACATGTAATAGTTTTAAACATATTTTTCTCCCCAAAGATTATAACTCTCATAAGTCTCAAGCCTATATTTTTCATGACCAGTTGGTAATGCCTCCATCACCCACAACCTATAACCAGGTAGTAAGTACATTTGAAGCATAAAAGTCAGAAAATCTAGGACTATGCTTCCTGGATGAAAATACTTCCTGTCTTGAAAATTCCATTTTGTCTACTCTTCTTTAAAATTGCCCTTTTTCTAAAACTCTGTGGCCCAAATAGTTATCAAAATGTCATAATGGCCCTGGCCAGCATGCTCAGTGGTTAGTGGTTCTCAACCTGTGGGTCGTGAACAATGAAAATACATCCTGCATATCAGATATTTACATTACGATTCATAACAGTAGCAAAATTACAGTTATGAAGTAGCAACGAAAATAATTTTATGGTTGGCGGTCACCACAACATGAGGAACAGTATTAAGGGGTCGTGGCATTAGGAAGGTTGAGAACCACTGGAGAGCATCAACCTGTACACAGAAGGGTCATGGGCTTGATTCTGGTCAAGGGCACATACCTGCGTCGCAAGTTCTATCCCCACTCCAGTTGGGGCACATATGGAAGGCAGCCAATCGATGTGTCTAACATTATGTTTCTCTCTGTCTTCCTCCCTACTCTCCCAATCCCCCTTTACCACTCTAAAAATCAATGGAAAAATATCCTGGGGTAAGGATTTTTTAAAAATCCTAATGTTTACCAAGGAACATTACAATTTTGGAATATAATATATGTTCTGTCTCAATAGATTTAAATATACATATAGTAAAGAAATGGCACCTGGAAAAATATTATCAAATGGTACTTTATCTATGTTTAGAAGTGATAAGAGCTGAAATGATCAATACAAGACTGTCTTGACTTGAGACTCTAGTTGTTAGGAAGGTGGCAGGGCATGTTTCCTGTAGAATTTCAGTTACTATCTACACACATTAAGAACACAGTACAAGCCACAGTGAGGGCAGAAATAAAATGTGTGTGTGTGTGTGTGTGTGTGTGTGTGTGTGTGTGTAGTTAATGCCAACGTCACTCTATAATGTATGATGAAGAAATGAAATGGGATGTGAGGGTGATCTGGCTGTGCCATCTGTCACTCCATTGATCACCAGGGTTGATTCGTCTGATCTGGGTGGCTAGGCGGGTGTCCTCCTCCTCCCTCACTGATCCATGCGCGTCCCTCCCAAAGCTGTGCGCTCAGTGGAAGAGGACGACCTTCCCCCTAGAGGAGAGGACTGGTTTTTGGTCAAGGGTATATGAGTAGCTGCACTCCCCTGCTAGAACCTCCAAACAAGCTCTCAAGAAATTAAACGCTTTCCAGGTCAGATATTTAAAATGAAATGTAATGAAAGTGGCAAATACACATGGCAATTTTCCTAGAGATTTAAAATCATAGCAGAATCTTACCATTCATTAGACTGTAATGTTGGGGAGTCATTCTGGGCAATGTGATACAAGGCACTCATTGCATTCATGTTGAAAAGAGGGGGTTTCCGTTCCGCTGAAAGGAAAAGAAACATGATAAAGCAGCTCTTGAAAGAAATCAGGCAGATAGGGAAATAAGAAACTATGAGCAAAGCTTTGCTGCTAAACTGATAACTTGTTACTGTCATCATGCCACATAATCCACTTACTTTAATCGCTTAGGTCAACCTAGAATAGCCATTCAAAAGAAGCTGCTGAATATCTTAATGTACACTAGCAAAGCTCCTAACAGATTCATTCTAGAGAGTGAACAAAATTTTATTATGTTTTTCACATATCTTCAACAGGCTAGTCTTTGCCTATCTTCTCACAATAGGTATGAATATCGTGAACTCTGAAAAAGGGGCTATGTACAAATCCTGACAAGCTCAGTGACCAAAAGTTACCACACACCATGATGATGTGATCATAAATTACTAAGCAGGCAGGGCATGGTGGGTAGTCAAGCCCTCGGCCGATAGCTTCCGTAGTAAAAGTGAGCCCTGTCCATTGTTCTTATGCTTTTACATGGACATACCTTTGAAATGCCAAGTAACCTTCTCTTCTAGACCCCCTTGGAGGCTTAACCGCCCTCACAAGAGCAGGTACACCAAACTCTTATCTTATTGCCCCCATCCCACTGTTAATTACTGTAAATGTTAACTAACCTATACCCACCAATGTAAAAGAAGTATGTGTTTCTACATTTTGCTTTTTATCCAATACCAGAGATTTCCCCGCTTTGTTTTCTCCTGCTTCCTTAATCTACCTTCCTTATGTTTTCTTTCATATAACCTTCCTTATGTTTTCTCCTTTGATTCTAAATGTATAAAAAGAACTGCCAAACTGTCATTCTCTGGAGCATTTTCTAAATCCATTGAGATTTTGCTTCTGGGCATATCCTCAGTTTGGCTTAAATAAACTCTAATAAATTCATGACATTTTTCTATAGGTTTAGACGTTCTTATGTCAACAACATCATGTGTATGTGTTTCAATTAAAAATGTGTATTCACTGAAAAAATTCAATAGTTTCTTATTTCCCTATCTGCCTGATTTCTTTCAAGAGCTGCTTTATCATGTTTCTTTTCCTTTCTTTTTTTTTAAAAATATGTTTTATTGATTTTTTACAGAAAGGAAGGGAGAGAGATAGTTAGAAACATCGATGAGAGAGAAACCTCGATCAGCTGCCTCCTGCACACCTCCTACTGGGGATGTGCCTGCAACCAAGGTACATGCCCTTAATCAGAATCGAACCTGGGACCTTTCAGTCCCCAGGCCAATGCTCTATTCACTGAGCCAAACTCTTATGCCAAAAGAAGCATAAGCTCTATTCACTGAGCCAAACTCTTTTCCTTTCAATGAATACACATGAAAAGGCACAGAAAAGTAGAGTGAAAAAAATATTATAAAACGGAACTTGTTTTTTTTTTTTTTTGAGAGTGAGACACACATCGATGTGAGAGAAACATCGATCAGTTGCCTCCTGTATGTGCCCAGACCAGGAATAGAACCCCCAAACTTTTGGAGTAGCGATGATACTCTATCCAACCTAGCCATCTGGCCAGGGCATAAAATGGAACATCTTAAACATCACTAACACAGTATGAGAAATAAAATAATTCAATTCCATAAACACTGTTTGAAGGATCACATAGGCCAGAGAACTGGTATGGGATGGGGTAGAGGGGACTGGGAGAGAGGAGGAGGAGAAGAAATAAACAAGGCCTGGTCCATCCCATTCTAAAGAAAAGCTCAGTGAATCAAGTATTAATGGAAGATTTACTCTATCAGAACCTGTCAGATCTCTTCTTTGGAATTCCTACAGCTCTCTTTTAGTTTACTGCTCATTTGGCATGTGCTCACCTACTGCATTTACATAAACAAACATTTTTTTAAAAAGAAGCATAAGCTCTAAGACAGGGGTGGGCAAACTTTTTGACTCGAGAGCCACAATGGGTTCTTAAACTGGACCGGAGGGCCGGAACAAAAGCATGGATGGAGTGTTTGTGTGAACTAATATAAATTCAAAGTAAACATCATTACATAAAAGGGTACGGTCTTTTTTTTTTTAGTTTTATTCATTTCAAACGGGCCAGATCCGGCCCGCGGGCCATAGTTTGCCCACGGCTGCTCTAAGAGCAAGATCTTATAACGCAAATACTTTTATTATTTTATTTATTTCCTGAGAATATGTAATAAGATGCTATTTACATATCAGGTGCTCCATATGTTGACCAAAGGAAAGAAACAAGGTTCTAGCTGAGTACAGTTAATTTTATGCCATTTACTAATTATTATGTCATAGGAGATAAAGCACTATCTATTCTTCTGTACTTATTTTATGCTAATGGATTCTTTATATAGTCCCAGTTTGTAATTCATCATCTGATCTCTAGTTTCATCAGGGCATTTTGTTGTTTAAGCAAAGATTCTCTATTAACCACTTTTAAAATGGTGAAGGGGGGCGGGGAGGGCCATTTACTAGTATAGCAGTGTCGACAATAAAAATAAAGTTAAAAAATGGTAAATTAGGCTTATTCTATGCAATTCTAAGAAACAGAACAAGAACTAAAGGCAGAAGTAACAGGGAATACTGTCCCCCCCACCCCAACTTGAAATGAACAAGGTTGAGAGTAGTGAATTTTCAGTTATTGGCATTATGCAAGCAGAAGGCAACAATACTTATTCATCTGTGATACTTTGGAGGGGCTTCTTATAGTCTTGACTAAATGATCTCTGACACCTTTGAAGGTGTCTACAATTCTACAAATATTTATTAATCTCTCAACAGGATAGTTTATACGCACCAAATAACTACCAGTATTATAGGGACATGAACTCTTAATAAGTGGAAGTTTGAAAGTTGCATTATAGATACATGGAATTATATCTGTTTCTAATGTAGAGGAGAAATAACTGGTTCAGGTTTGTTTTATTTTTCAGGAGGTTGACTCTAGAAAGTTTCTAGAGCTTGGCTTTTTGACAACTTCTAGTATTTAAAGCCATCTAGAACTAGGATCACATCATGTAACCATCAATGACTTCCCATCATTCTTAGGACAAAGTCCAGATCCTTAAACATAGTTTATTGACCTTTATGAACATGACCCTGGCTAGCTCCAGCACTTCAGTTTGAGAAACAATCTCCCCCGTTCCCCCTCCTGCCCCCCCCCCCCTCCGATGTAATCTTTTGCTTCACTGAAAGAACCAAGTTCACAGCCTCTCACACATGCTGCTTTCTCTGTCTGGACTCCCTTCTCACGCTTGTTCCCTAAACTTTATCTGGTAATTCTTGCCAATCCTTCAGGCTTTATCTTAAATATAATTTCATTTCTGCATTAATTTAATAAATATTTAATCCAGGGTCATTATATGTTTATAATCACTTCCAAACGGAAGCCTTTCCTGACCTCTCAGACTAGGCTCCCATGAGATTTTGTCATTGCAAATTATATTTTTCCTTTCTACCACCTATCACAACCATAATGAATTATTTGTGTAATTTTTTATGTGATGTGTGTCATCTTTGCTAATGTGTCCATGACAGCAGGGACAACATCATTTATGTTCATCTCTGCATTTCCTGTGCTGCACGCATATCTGGTATTTATTCTTAGTGGCCAAAATGAGTAAATGAAGATAAGGCAAACTAAGGCAAAGAGAAACTTTATCAACAAAGAATCTTTGTGCAGCATGAAGTCACAAAGTGACTGAGAAGAAACCAAGTCTTGGGGCTTGTGTCAGATACTATGGGATGGATTCATTCTCTATCAGGATAGGAGCCCTCTCGCTCACTGGCAAAAAATATAAAATTCAAGCTGCTCAGAAGAACACTGAATTGTACAGGAGAAACAGCAGGAAAGGGGGACTAAATGAGAAAGAAAACAGAAATTTAGGAAGAGGACGATGAACGGACAAAAACAACATAACCCAGTTCGATGTTGCTCAGATTTGAAGTAGCATGGGGAGCACTTTTAAGTAATGGGCACTCTGTCCGTAAACAAGACAGGATAGTTGACCTCACAATGGCAGAATAGTTCTAGCACAGAGAAGTGTGTGATGAAAGGTATTCCAAACACAGGACAGTTCTATGATCTAGTTTCTGAGAAGCTTTTGCTAAATATTAATTTCAGATGGTCTCACATCTGTTCAAGTCCTCTGCCAGATGCAGCACATAAATCCTCTGAGTCATGGTGACAGGACTCATTGCTAATCCAGAATACTATAGAACAGGGGTTAGCAAACCATGGCCCAAATTCACCTAACAGCCTGTTTTTGTAAAGTTTTATTGGAACACAGCCACACCTATGCATTAACATATTGTCCTTGGCTGCTTTCATGCTATGTAGCAGAGTTGAGTATTTATGATAGAGAAATGTATGGCCTGCAAAGCCTAAAGCACTTATCTGGTCCTTTACAGAATGTTTGTCAGCCCTCACTATAAAATATAACTAGTGGCCTGGTGCATGAATTCATGCACTTTGAAAGGAAATTAATTAGAAGAAATATTTTAATATCGCTATTTGCCCTTTCTCTATAATAGAAGTGTCAACCGAATTCATGATCGACAGTGACAGATTGAAACACATGCATGTGATTGGTGCCAGAGAGAGCTTTATAAATATATAAATATATATATATATATATATATATATAGATAGATAGATAGATAGATAGATAGATATAGATATAGATATAGATATATAGATATAGATATATAGATATAGATAAACTTGCTTAATTAGACCTGCTTTCTGAATTAGTTAAACTTTTTCCAGCCCAGTGAAGCACCCCAACTTCTCTTTCAGGTAATTGTCAGCAACATAGCAGTAAATAACAACACGAAGCAAATTATTATAGATCACGCAGGGAGAACAAAGGGTAAAATATTTAACTGCAGCAGTGTTTGACTATATTCTGGGCAGTGAGAAAACCTGAAGTCATTTTCAAGGTCCACCATTTCTTCTTTTCAGTCAGGTCAAGTTTCTAAGCTTTCTAAATCTCCGTTTTCCGGCTAATGAAAAGAAAATAGGAT